AGATGTTTGGGATCACATCTTGAGAAGAAATTCCATGAAGAGTACTCTGAGGATCTTATCTTTAAGCCCAGATTACGTTGAGTGAAAAGTTGCGAAGTCCTTTGATTTTTTATGATGGTTCTTCAGATATTGGTGATTCCAGTTTTTGAGATTGATTCAACTGCAATGCCTCATGTTTTATAACGATTTTTTTGTAGCGAGCAATGGTCCCAAGGAACATCAGGCACAGCAGCAACAGGGAGGTGATCATGCTGGGGATGATTCATCATTTGATTCATGGAGAGGAGGGAATAATGCACAGCACCACTCCAACTATCCTATTGGCACTGGGGAACCGTATCCCTACTATGCCGGTACGTCCTTTCAATACCAGACATTCGGTGCTGGTGATGGCACGTGGTCGAATGGCACTGAATCAGTAGCTTTTCTCTCCGGTTACGGTGGCCAAATTAGCCACGACGCGTACGGTATGGATCAGATGTTCTCCACTGGTGCGGGAGGCGGATTTGGGGGCTTTGGACAGCCTGCATTTACTAATTATTTTCCAGGTAATAGAACTCTTTTAATATATTTGAATATTCCCTCGCTAAATTTCCCATACGATCAATAATTACATAATTCATTTTCTATTGGAGTGCCACGTGCTTCCAATACTTCACACTACTTTCCATTCAACGAGTGATTAGTTCGCTGTTGATTTGGCCTACAGCGAGCTTCATGCATTCATGGAAAAACCACATTCACTCCAACGGGAGATTGATAATTCCGATAACAACTTGTATGCATTGCAAATACTAGTAATTTTTCCAGATGAAAATTCCGAATGGCCAAATGAAAGCAGGATCATTTGTAGTCATTCCATTTGTGAGAATAAATAGCGAATCGGTCAGTCATTAATTGATCAGCAAACAAGTAGTGGAATATTTTGAATTTGTACAGCATTTCTCGGTAATGAATAAATGTTTTAAAAGAATTGAAACAAAAAAAAAATAATAAATAGAAATCCGGTACACAAATCTCTCAATAAATTTTCCCAAGAGATAAATAATGATTGTTCGATCTCTTATCATTGCAAACAACAATCTAATCGAATTCCGCTGATTTGTCTGTGATCTAGGCAATGGCGATTTCAATGCATGGGGGACAACTCCCCGCAAGGCTCGTTACGAGGATTACTACCCCCAGCCCCGCAATCAAGACGGCACGTATCAAGCCAACGATATGAAGAACCTTGAGCAAACAGTCCAGGGTCTGTCCCTGGGTGAACTGCCGCGTCACGATCAGAGTATGTCTTCCACCCAATCCTCGAAATCCGAGCCCAAAGAGCAGCGTAAAATCACGTGGGCAAGTGTAGCGAGTCAACCAGCCAAGCCAGTGCCCCCAGTGTCAGCGAATCCTGGAATGAAGAAAAAAGCTGGAATGCCACCACCGCCAATAGTCCCGGGCAAGCACAATATGGACATTGGCACCTGGGGCGAGGGTAAATCATCAATTCCACCACCACCCAAAGCTCCTCTCCCACCGCAAATCCAGCTACCAGTCGCTGCCCCAGCTCCACCAATCCAGAGACAACGACCAACACCACCACCGAGCTGGAAACACCCAGGTTCACCCTCAACACCTCCAACAAGTGTTGGAGCACCTCAGTCTATTCCTCAGCCACTTCAGAGTTCTCATCATCAGGCTGGATCTCCACACCAACAGCAGCAACAGCAACACCCGCAGCAACAGCAACAGCAGCCCCAGCAACAAGTGGTGCATAATCCACAATCACATCGTCCAAGTCACCAGGGGTCGCACCCCGGACATTCTGGACATCAAGGACACCAAGGTGGGCATCAGGGACATCAGGGACATCTAGGGCATCAGCCCCATCAATCTCATGGACATCAACAGTCCCAGAATCAGTCACAAAATCAGAATCAGAACCAGAATTTGAATCAGAATCATCAGAATCAGAACCAGCATCAACACCAACACCAGCAGTCAACTACATCACCACATCAGCCTCAATCCCACCAATCCAATCAATACCAGTCTCAACAAATACCAACAGCCAATATTTCTCATCCAGTTTTAGATGAATTGAAAGTGAAGAATGATTATAATCCGATTGAATTTGACCAGACAGCACCAGGGGCTAAATTCTTCGTTATAAAATCGTACTCTGAGGACGATATTCACAGGTCCATCAAGTATGAGATCTGGTGCAGCACTGAGCACGGAAATAAAAGGCTTGATCAAGCTTATAGAGAGGCTATGAGAGAGGGAGCACCTCTCTACTTGTTCTTTTCGGTTAATGGCTCTGGGCATTTCTGTGGAATGGCTCAGATGGTTTCGTCAGTTGATTATCAGAGCAACAGCTCGGTGTGGTCACAGGATAAGTGGAAGGGACAATTCAGAGTGCGTTGGATATACGTAAAGGATGTTCCCAATGCGCAATTGAGGCACATTCGATTAGAGAATAATGAGAATAAGCCAGTTACAAATTCTAGGGATGCTCAGGAGGTGCCACATGCTAGAGGTGTACAAGTATTACGGATTCTTCATTCTTACCCCCATTCTACGAGTATTTTTGATGATTTTGGGCATTATGAGAGGAGACAAGCTGAGGAGGATCAGAGGAAGGTGCCTGTGATGGGAATGCATCATCAGGCGCATTCACCTCCACCTATGGGGGGTCACAGGGGGAGAGTTCATGGAGAGATGGGGAGGCATCAGCCACACCATCAGGGACGAGAGTCACATCAGCCTCATCATCGAGAACGTGATGGTGGTCGTGGCAGAGGACGGGGTATGCCACGTCAGTAGCGGTGGTTAACTCACTGGATCAATAATTATGTTAATAATGAAAAGATGAGATGAACGGCTATGGGAAAGGTGGAGAGGATAAAGGACCTATTACTTATTTACCCAAGAATGAAAAACAAGTAAACTCTGCATTCGTGAGCACATAATTTTTTGCCGGACAAAACAGCAAATGAAACTCAATGGGACTTTGATTTTTTTTTTTAAATGAAGAACACAACCGATGGAGACAGATGGAATACAACTGAGCGAGGAATAACTCACCAATGAAGACAAATGATGATAAAAATTCAGCTTGAAAATTATTTTTCTCAGTATGCAAAAACTATTTGTTCAATTGATACAAATGATTATTGATTGAGTGTGTCCTTAAAAATGAATTTAAAAAAAACGAATAATAGACGCTTGAAGAGAAAAAATAATAATCGCCACCCAGTGGACAATTGAAAATTCAGTGCCTGCGGCCTCACAATGGGGAGGGGAAACTATTATGAAAAAAAAAAACAGCAACAAAAAATAATTGCGAATGAAAAATGAAATTTTTATGTTATCATGTGTAATTAAAATGATATGAATGCAAAGCAAGATTAAGCAAACAGAAGAAATGATTTAATCAATTTCTGTCAATCTTTTTTTCTTCTGGATAAATCTTATCTTTTTTTGTCAATTTTTTTAACTGTCTATACTCATTAAGACACGATGAAATGGAATAAAAATTATTATAATTATGCGAATGAAAGAACGTGGAAGATAATATTAAATAGATTGTGATGTATAATGGAAGGATGTAGAGGAAAAAAGAAAGAAAGAACAATCGAAAAATGGACGAACATTAATCATTAATTGATTGATCAATGTAATTTTTAATGAGATGCTCCATTCTTATTGTTATATTGTGTATTCAGAAGAAACTCCCTTATTTTAGTTTTAGCTTTGATCACCACATGTGGGAGTTACTTGATACTATTTAAATAGCCAAGTGGTAGAAAGAGTCGAGTGAACAAATTTTTCATTATTCAGCAACTAATCCGGAAACAGTAATTTTAACAAGAGACATCGTGAGACCTATTAGGTCGACAATAAAAATTCCCCTCCAAAAAAAATCCTTTGATATGTTTTCCCAGAATCACGCACACCGAGAAAAAAAAAATTCTCGCCTGCAGTAAAATTTCTTCCCTCCAAATACCATGAGATTATCTGAATTTAATTTTTAAAACTGAATAAATCTGATTGGGAGGAAAATTTACATATCAAGACGGATGAAAAAATATTTCAAAATTATTGATTGTAAAGCTCTAGTCTAAAATTTGGAGTGGAACGATCTACTTTATGCGGAGAAAATTAATTTAATATTTCCGAGATACGAGAGTCTTCCTTGACTTTTGAGAAGTTTGCGCTGTCTAAGCTTTCTAGATTTCTGTGGTGTTTTTAGTATTTTTAGAATTTTAATTTAATTATCCGCTGTGATTCGATGAAAACAAGAATAGAGTACATAGAAATATAGAGAAGTGATATCAGTGGTATCAATTATATATTCGTCATCAACGTACAAGG